TAAAGCTCAGAGTTGAGCAAACGGACGGCCGGAGGGAAGAAACTCTTCCTCATTCTCTCAGTGGCAGCGTCGGCCTGACGGCAGCAGGGAGAGGAGAAAGTTTCCAGGATGCCGAGGAGGCTGCTTCAGGATCTTCACAGTCCACAGTTTGGTGTGAAGCTGACCAGGACCACCACAGTGGATCCATAGTCCTGACAGGGAAGCAGGGAGGTGGAAGCATCATGATGTCGGTCCGCATTAGCACAAAAAGTGTATTCATCATGAATAAACCAAAATGCTGCCTGACAAGGTGAAGTTTAGCAGAAGAAGAATCGTCCAGAATGAGAACCATTCCTACTGTGGGGCCTCTAAGTTCTTAGTGTTACATGAGAACACTCAGAAGTAATGCAGCTACTGTAAGATGATGCAGTTTAGAGCCATTGATGGGATGAAAAGTATAAAATAAAATGCACATAAAATGTTTGGGTCCTGTTGTTCTAAATATTATTTGCAGGTTGTTTTGGGGGGAAGAAGGCAGCTTTTAAAATCTAATAATTCTTTGCTTTGAGCTGAAACAATGCGACACAGTGCACGTACTGTTCATGTAAAATAAGAGTTTCACCTGATTTGGCCTGTTCAGAGAACAACACTTCATGTCTGTTGAGCAACTCTGTGGCCTCTTATTTACCACTTGTTTCCTCATTTGGTTTGCAGGTTACACACAGATGAATCTGTTTGTTTTTCTGCTTCCTCTGAGTGACACAGAACTAAAATAGCATCAACTGCAAACCTACAAAAACAACAACAACTCTCAACAACATTTCCATTTAAGGAGGGTTCACAGTTTTGCAAGTTGGTGCTATGACAGCGTCTCCATGACTGAATGTCACATGCAATAAGAACGTGGCTGCAACTGTTTGTTCTCTCCACAGAGGAGCTGGACAATCTCTTCCTAATACAAATACAAATGAGTCAAAAGTACAATAAGTCACTGCACAATACAGATAAAGCTGAAATATGTGTTTTGATGGCAAAGTGGAGCTGCCGCATGCAAATGGAGAACAAATATGTGTGAAGCCCCACAATGACTAACGGCTTCTACAACCCGACAGTGTGTGGCCAGTCTAATGATCAACACATCAAACTAACAGGATGCACAGCATGTGCACAGACATGCAAGTCATGCAACCTAAAACTTCAACAGAAACTATACATGTATATTTTAACTGTATTTAATCATGCATGATATCTACAGAAAAGTTTTCATCCCTGTTCAATTTTTTCCATTTTATTGTTTTTTTAAAATTGAATCATGGTCATTTTAATCTGCTGAGAGCAGGTCGGCCTTAAAAACTGATCACCCACTCGAGAGGGAGGTCACTAAGACACCTATGACTCCTTTAGAAGAGTAATAAGCTTCAGCAGCTGAGACAATTCATACAACTGTTGTCCATTCTTCACCAGATGAAGCTTTATTGGAGAGTGACAAAGAAAATGTCTCTCTGGAC